GGGGGGGGGGAGTTCAACGACCCTTGCGGCCACTCACCTCCTTCAGGATGGGCAAAAGACCTCCGTGGTGAATGCCGATGCCCCTCCGCAGCAAAGGCAGCAAATGTTCAATCTGGGGAAGTGCGCGGTCCTCTTCCGAAAGCGCAGTGATGGCATTGTTGAACACCGTGCCCACCATGTTCTTCTCGTCGTCATTGTTGAACTCCAGCTTGGCCATCTGCAAGGCCAAACCCTCGCATTCGCGTTTGGAAAAGGCAAACACGATGACGGGATTGTAATTTTTGACCATGATCATCCTGACGATCTTGTAGATATCCGACGGACCCTTTGTAGCTCCGCCCTTGCGAGTCTGTCCCTTGCGACCCTTTCCGCTACCACCATCCACCGAAGCAGGATCCTCTCCGCGGGCAGAATTGAGGGCGCCCATGGCTGCCTGGAAATTGTCTTCTCTAAAACGACCTGCTTCGTCGACGACGAGGTGTATACCCTCTGCCCCGAGCGGAAAGAGGTAGTGCTGGAGAGGAGTCGGTCTAAAGTCGGTATACACCACATGACAAGGCTGTTGGTGCGTGTGCGCGATCCAGGACGCGAACTGCATGGCGTTGGGAATCGTGGCGGACAAAAAGACGTACCTGACCTTGCGAGGCAGCAAGATGATCGTCTCCTCCCACACCACTCCCCTCTCCTTGTCTCGCATGTAGTGGATCTCGTCAAAGACGACCCAAGCCACCTCGCGCATGATCTCGCTGCCTCGATACAGCATGGATCGCAGAATCTCGGTGGTCATGACCAAGCAGGATGCGCTCGGATTGATGGTGACATCGCCAGTCATCAGCCCGACGTCGCCAAATTCTGCACTCATCTCTCTGTACTTTTGATTCGACAGAGCCTTGATGGGACTGGTGTAGACGACCCTCTGACCTTCTTTGAGGCACTGCGCGATGGCGTACTCGGCCACCACCGTCTTGCCGGCGGATGTATGCGCCGAGACCAAGACGCTCTCGCCGCGCTGAATGGAAGCGATGGCGGTGCGTTGAAAGGGGTCCAGGGTGAAAGGCCACTCTCGGGCCGGCTTCTCTGGAGGCACGTGTGATGATAGGGGCACGTAGGGATAGGCGGGAGGCAGAGCGACCTGATGACGCACCGAGTGACGAATTTCCATGGAGCCAGCCGCTGCTCCAGCTGATGGGCCCGACACTGACGTTCCGATTACGCCTCCTGCCACTTCTGCGGCGGCGGCGGCAGCGGCAGCGGCAGGGGTGGCACCGTCCGAAAGCGTACCTGTAGGAGCACGATCTGCTTGCACAGAAGCTGGGCCAGCTCCCTGCTCCGTCTTGACCACCTTGGCATCCTTGGCCGCCTCGCCCGCTGGCTTCTCCGCGGGCAGATTCCTGGACGCTTCTGCCACAAACTCGTCGGTGAGCACAGGCGCCGTCTCTACGGTGAGAGGATTTGCGCCCGTGCTGCCCGTCCCAGTGTCTCCATTCACCACCTTGTGCTTCTTGTGCTTCTTTGGAGGCGGCGGCGGCAGCGCGACTGTAGCAGCGTTTCCATCGCTCTCGCCATTTGCCGCGCCGCTGCCATTCCTCTCTGTCGGAGTGCGAGGTGGCGCTGCGCTGTCCGCTTCTCTGCTCCTGTCCCTCTTCTTTCTTGCTTCCCTCTCGGCATGGCGTGCCTCTTTGCGAGCAGCTTTGGAGCTCGTGTCTGTTGTTGCAGACAAGGGTGGTGGAGCGGCAGGAGTCAAAGTGGAAGGACCAGCTTGGCGCTGCTGCGGATCGTCGCTGCGGCCATCGGTGCTCTCCAAATGGTCAAAGAGACCCGATGGATCCATCGCGGAGGGGCAGTGCGGGTGGTGATAATGTGTCGGGTGAGTCGAGACCGTTGCGAGGCTCTTGCAGGGCGCGCGTGGGCGTGGGCGTGGGCGTGGGCGTTTCGTCTTGCCACTAGCACGAACAACAGATCGGCCGAGCGGACTGTGTGAACGAGGGGGGAGAGCGTGCGCTATCGAGGAGGAGTTGCGACTGGCAGAGCAGAAGAAGCTCGGGCAAGATGAGCGGGTAAAGGTGGGCCTGCAGCGGCAGCAGCAACTTGATGAGGATGTCGAGAGCGTTTGTCTCGACGTGATCGCAACCTCAAGCGCAGGCACGCGCACGCGCACGCGCACGCCCACGCCCACGCGCAGGAATTTCCACTCTAAAAAGTATACCCAGCAGCGAGCGCTGCACTTTTTCGGACAATTTCTCTCGTGCGAGAAGACTCTTCAGCATTTCTCCCACATTCGACCGCGAACGGCGACGCGATGTGATTCGATTTGAACTCAAAGGTCGCTCCAACCGTGCCGCTTGAATGCTGTTAAAGCGGGTGCTTTATTTGATATCGTGAGCCCCTTGTCGAGACGCTCACAATCAGGTCCTGCTGCTCGTTGCCACGAAGCGTCCTCGGCTGCAGGCGTGCACGCGCGCGTCACTGTGACTGCTTGTGACACAGCTGCTGATGGTCACCGTTTGAAGCGGTCGAGAGGATGGCTGCTCGCGGTCCCGCTACCTTCTTGGTACACGCGCCGGCACAACACACGTCCACGCCCATACGACTCTTTGGAGGCATGCATGCGAGCACATGACAGAGCACGCAGAATGACCTCTCGACAAATCAAGGTGGCAATTGCGACAGTGCTGCCGGGACAGTGGCAAAGAGGCAAACAAAGAACGAAAGGGCGACGTTCGAGCGAAGCCAAGAAAAGAAAAGAAAAAGAGGTAGCGGCGGCACAAGCAATGTGCAACTAACCTGGGCGCAACAAGGGCGGAGAAGCTTCGCTCGGGACAGCGCACGCGCAGACATCAAGTCGCTGGTCACGTCACACAATGACGCACTCTTGCTGCGCATCCCCCCGCGTAGGTCTTTTGCCAGTCTTGCCCGCTTTACCGCCCATGCGTTTCAGCTCCGTCAGCCTCTGCATCGCTCGCTTGTTGCCTTGGGCTAAAATGGGAGAGTAGGACCGTGTGAGCATCACGTGCAGCGCCGCTTTCCGCATCGAGCAGACTCACCAGCAGCTCGCATGTACCACCTCTTTGCCTCCTCCACATCCGACTTGACTCCGATGCCGACTTCGGAGTAGTAGCCCACGGCATACTCTGCCTTTGGTATTCCCTTTTGCGCGGCTTTTCTGGCCCACAAGTAGGCTTCGCTGTCGCTCTGCTTCAACACGCCTTCCGAGCCCGTCAGGTACCAGCCAGAAAGGGCCAGTTCTGATTCTCCATCATTCTTGCCTGCCGCCTTGGTGTACCAAGCGATGCTTCGCCGTGGATCGACGGGACAAGTGAGATGCCCGTATTCGTACGCAGAGCCGAGCTTGAATTGAGAGGGCGTGTACCCGAGTTGAGCGGCTTGCGTGAACAGCTCTCTGGCATACGCTTCATCGTGCATCACGACGCTGCTACCGCCCTTTTCGTGCAGCAACCCTAGCTCGTGCAGCGCGTGCGGATTCTCTTCGTCTGCTTGCCCTGCAGCTCTCTTGAGCCAGACCACGGCCTCCCGAATGTTTCGCGGCTGACCCAGCAGACCGTTCAGCAGAATCATGCCCAACTTGTACATGCCAGCAGTGTCCCCCAAGGCAGATGCTTTCCGGTAGAAGAGGACCGCACGATGATGATCTCTCCTCGTGCCCGCTCCTACCTCGTTGCACACCGCAGTGCGGTACGTCGCCGCTGCGTGGTTCTGTTTCGAAGCCTGCACGTACAAATTGTATGCCTTTTCGTGGTCCACCTGCAAGCCGAGTGAGCCGGTGCCAAAGCAATTTGCGAGAAAGTACTGCGCCTCCGAGTAAGGAGGCTTGCCCAGGCCCATTCCAGTGGTAGCTAGCCGCTTGATGAGCTTCAGACTATCTCCAAGCAGCGCATCTCGATACTTTCGGGCTTGCTTTGGTCCATCTCTAGGATCCTGCACCTTCTTTGCGGCCTCGATGAGGTACTTGGCAAAGGCGAATTGAGCTTCGGGGTCCGGATCGCCCTTCATGCGGTGCCTGTACTCGTCTACAAACTCCTTGTTGAATGGCAAGGTCTGCCTCTTGGCCTCTGCTTCTTTGCTTTTCCTGCGCGCATTGGCCGCGGCAGATCCTGTAGACACTGCGCTGGACATGCTGAGCTGCGTGGGCTGGCGAACAAGTCCCATACCAGGCTGCAGACCGCCGCTCATGGGCGTCATGCCCATCGAGACGTGAGAGGCAGTGGATGGAGCTCGCATGAGGTCGGGATTGGGGGGACCGGCGCCAGGAGGGAAGCCAAGGTAGCCACCTGCGCCGCTGTATTCGTATCCATTGCCTCCTTGCTGGTAGTATCCTTGATCGTAGCCACCGCCTTGCCCGTGCCCGTACGAAGAGCCGCTTGCGCCTCCAAAGTAGCCACTAGGTCCTCCGTGGTGATGCGGTGCAGTAGCAAAGTGATCCTGAGGAGCGCCTACATAATAGCCACTACCATTGCCATCCTCCTGCCAATATCCGCCCTCCTGCTGCTGTCCATAGCCGCCGCCGCCGCCGCCGCCGCCGTCTGAAGGTACCCAGCCTTGCTGCGATGGACCGTATCCGCCAGCGACAGACTGTTGTCGGGATACCTGCGGATGAAAGCCGGGCTGAGGGGGAAAAGAGGTGTTGCTCTGCACGTAGCTGCCATCTGAAGCTCTCCTCCCCTCTGCGTATCCTCCTGCGATGTTGCCACCCAGCTCATTCGCCGTAGCATCCACCTCATTCGCAATGGCGGCGAGACTGTTTGACGGGTCGACTTCTCGGGCGCTCTGATAAATCTCCTGGTGCGCGTAGGCGGCATTGGCGCGCTCGACGTACGCCGAGGTGTTGCCGCCAACGCCGACGCCAGGAGGAGCAGGAGACTTTGCCCTCAAGGAAGCGGTAGCGCTGCCAGAGGATCCGCCTCCAACATTCATCTTGTCGAAAGCGTGTCCGAGTTCGTCTGCAAGAGGGGGACCTCTGGATCCACTGGTGCCATGGTCAAAGGCCGGAGCAGAGGTGTTTGATTGGTGGTACATATGGCCTGCGTTGCGTGGACGCGAGCAGAGAATGTGTGAGTGGAGAGTGGTGAGCGTCGGATCGAGTGGTGAGCATCGGATCTGATGGCTAGCGCCCTACGCCCCGCTTACCTGGTGCGAGTCGATGCTGGGAACCTTGACTCTGATCGGAATCCCGAGCACCTCGTGCGCTGCTCGCAGTAGCATCCGATGTAACGCCTCTTGTCCTCAGGGGCCCAAACGCTGGACTGGAGGTGGCGCTGCCTGATGCTGAGCTCATGGCTGCCAATCTCGGGTCCGCAGGTCGAGAGCTGTGGTGATGTTGGTGCGCAGGGGTGATACTGCCATTGCGATGATGAGGAGGCTCCGCATCGTACGACATGCCAGCGTAGGCATCGGACAAGGACGTGTGAGAACCTGTCGTGGATGCCATCTTCTACGCTCGAGAGCGAGGAGTGTATGCGCAGGTGCGAATGCAGGGTGTCCGACCAGCTTCCTCGTTGTGTACGCCCAGGACCAGCAGAGGGGATGGCGTGACAGCCAGGGCTGACGAGGCTTGGCCTTGGCGTGCGCGCGCGCGCGCTTTGTTGATGTTGATCGAGCAAGTCACGAGCGCATCAGGGTGCTGCGCGAGTCTGCGCAGACAATCCTGCCCCTATATATATCTATATATATACCTCTGTGGGCCTCGGCGCAGGCGGATGGATGGATCTGGGTGCAGCGACGGCTAGCAGGAAGCAAGCAAGCAAGCAAGCGATGCGATGAGTTGAGCAGAGCCAGGCACCGGTCTCGGCGTGCAGATGTTGAACGTGGTGCTCGCGGATGAGCTTGATCTCGCAGCGCGTGCGACGTGCGTTGCTGACGCTGATCGAGCTCCTACGAACGTGAGTGGCTTTTGGAGCAGCAGAAAGCAAGATAGAAAGAAGTCTTGAGTAGCTAGCAACACGAATGCGTGGCAGCCGAGATGGTCGTTTGCGTATGAGATGGGCCTATTTCACAAGAGGTGTTGGACATGCGAGTCGGGAGGCTGACGCACACTCACACTGTGACTATTCACATACAGAAGAGCGACAGATTCACAATTCAAGATTGAAGGGATGCATGTTTTCAAGCTTCACATTCAGATTCACCATAGCAGCTTCAATTCAACGCACCAGCGCAACTGCTTGCTTGCTTGCTTGCGTGCGTGCGTGCGTGCGTGCGTGCGTGCGTGCGTGCGTGGCCAGATCGGCTTGCAATCTCGCCATCGA